AGTCAGGCAGAGACCAGAAAGAACTAGGAAGGGGCGAGAGCTTATTCAGTAGCAAGTCACAGAGGCTGAGAACATTCTAGGCCTAGATTAGATTGCATCTACAATAGAAGCTTACAGGACCTGGCTTAAGTTAGCAGACAAAGGCAGTAAGTCTCTGAGTGAAGATTTATATCAGATGAATAAGAATTACTTTTACAAACTGGCCTAGTTGAAAGCTCCTCTAAGTCCACATACTCTAGTGTTGTTACTATGCTTTTAGGAAAAACATGAAACAAAATTAAAAAAAATTAATCAATTAACTTAACAAAAATTTAAGTATTGCTTTTGGCTGGGGCAGACACCTACCTGGTCTGTTCCCATGAAAACAACATATCCTGAGCCATCCTAGAGGAGCCACTGCACTCAGAGCAGTGGACACCTAGCTGGTCTGCTCCCGTGAAGACACCATATCCTGAGCTATCCCTAGAGGAACCACTGCACTCAGAGCAGCAAAGGAACCACTGCACTCAAAGCAGCAGGATTTCAGGATCCCAGAGGCAGCCTGTGTCCCAGAAGTTCTTCCACCCAGGAGCTCAGGATCACAGGATCACAGAGACATCTGGACTCTGAGGAGTTCTGACAAAAGCAAGATAACTGGAAAGACAGGCTCCAGTCAGAGACAGTGAGTACAGGTAGCACTAGAGTTAAAAAGATGGCAAAAGGCAAGTGCAAGAACATGACCAACAGAAACCCAAGTTACTTGGCATCATCGGAACCCAGATCTCCCACCATAGCAAGTCCTGGACACCCTATCACACCGGAAAAGCAGGATTCAGAATTAAAATCACTTCTCATGATGATGATAGAGGACTTTAAGAAGGATATAAATAACTCCCTTAAAGAAGTACAGGAGAACACAGGTAAACAGATAGAAGACCTTAAAGAGGAAACACAAAAATCCCTTAAAGAATTGCAAGAAAAAAACAACCAAACAGGTGAAGGAATTAAACAAAACCATCCAGGATCTAAAAATGGAAGTAGAAACAATAAAGAAATCTCAAAGGGAGACTACCCTGGAGATAGAAAACTTAAGAAAGAAATCAGGAGTCATAGATGCAAGCATAACCAACAGAATACAAGAGACAGAAGAGAGAATCTCAGGTGCAGAAGGTACCATGGAAAACACTGACACAAGTGTCAAAGATAATGCAAAATGCAAAAGGCTCCTAACCCAAAACATCCAGGAAATCCAGGACACAATGAGAAGACCAAACCTAAGGATAATAGGTATAGATGAGAATGAAGATTCCCAACTTAAAGGGACACTAAATATCTTTAACAAAATTATAGAGGAAAATTTTCCTAACTTAAAGAAATAGATGCCCATGAACATACAAGAAGCCTACAGAACTCCAAAGAGACTAGACCAAAAAAGAAATACTTCCTGTCACATAATAATCAAAACACCAAATGCACAAAACAAAGAAAAAAATACTAAAAGCAGTAAGGGAAACAGGCAAAGTAACATATAAATGCAGACCTATCAGAATTACACCAGACTTCTCACCAGAGACTATAAAAGCCAGAAGATACTGGAGTGACATCATATAGACACTAAGAGAACACAAATGTCAGCCCAGACTACTATACCAGCAAAACTCTCAATTACCATAGATGGAAAAACCAAGATATTCCATGACAAATCCAAATTTACACAATATCTTCCCACAAATCCAGCCCTACAAAGGACAATAGATGGAAAACTCCAACACAAGGAGGGAAACTACAACCTAGAAAAAGCAAGAAAGCAATCTTCCAACAAACCCAAAAGAAGATAGCTACACAAACATAATTCCACCTCTAATAACAAAAATAACAGGAAAAAAATCACTTTTCCTTAATATCTCTTAACATCAATGGACTCAATTCCCCAATAAAAAGATGTAGACTAACAGACTAGATACATAAACAGGACCTAGAATTTTTTTTTTAATAATTTATTTTTTCTCTAATCGTAATACATTCACACAGGAGTTATAAACACAGAAAGGCAGGATGTGGGGAAGGGAATGACACTGGAGTGTGGGTGTTCAAGGGGAATACAGATATCTTTCAGAACAGGGTATTGGCTGGGTGAAGGTTCAGGGGACAGATCACTATGACTCTGCCTATGATTTACTTGTCCTTATCTAAGTTGAGGACCCAGAATTTTGCTGCATACAGGAAACGCCCCTCAGTGACAAAGACAGACACTATCTCAGAGTAAAAGGCTGGAAAACAATTTTCCCTGAAGATGGAAAGATCTCCCATGCTCATGGATTGGCAGGATTAATATAGTAAAAATGGCCATCTTGCCAAAAGTAATCTACAGATTCAATGCAATCCCCATTAAAATCCCAACACAATTCTTCACAGAGAAAGAGAAATTCTCAAATTTATTTGGAATAACAAAAAACCCAGGATAGGAACACTATTCTCAACAATAAAAGAATTTCTGGGGGAATCACTATCCCTGACTTCAAACTGTACTACAGAGCAATAGTGGTAAAAACTACATGGTATTGGTACAGAGACAGGCAAGAAGATCAATGGAATAGAATGGAAGAGGCAGAAATAAACCCACACACTTATTGTCACTTGATCTTTGACAAAGGAGCTAAAATTAAAATTGTCCAGTGGAAAAAGGACATCATTTTCAACAAATGGTGCTGGTTCAACTGGAGGACAACATGTAGAAGAATGCAAATCGATTCATTCTTATCTCCTTGTAGAAAGCTCAAGTCTAAGTGAATAAAGGACCTTCACATAAAACCAGATACCCTGAAACTAATAGAAGAGAAGGTGGGGAAGACCCTCAAATACCGGGGCACAGGGGAAAAGTTCCGGAACAGAACATCAATGGCTTATGCTCTAAAATCAAGAATTGACAAATGAGACTTCATAAAATTGCAAAGCTTCTGTAAGGCAAAGGACACTGCCAATAGGACAAAACGGCAACCAACAGATTGGGAAAAGATCTTTACCAATCCCATGTCCAATAGAGGGCTAATATCCAATATATACAAAGAACTCAAGAAATTAGACTCCAGACAACCAAATAACCTTCTTTAAAAATGGGGTACAGAGCTAAACAAAGAATTCTCAACTGAGGAAACTCAAATGGCTGAGAAGCATCTAAAGAAATGTTCAGCGTGTTGTTGTAATTATTTAAAACTGGCCTCAGACTATCTATGCTGCAGCTTCTCTGCCTAGCCCAGGCCCCATGTTTCTCGGCCTGAGGCCATGTGTGCACTGCAGCTAGAACCGGCCTGCCAGAAACACCAGCCCTGCCACCCACTAGATGCCAGCGTGAGAGATGGCTCTACCAATCTTTCACGCTGTCTCCGCAAGGCAGGGCATTGCCCAGACCATTCCGCCATCCATGGGGGCTCAGTAAGAGAATGAGACTCTAATTCTTATAGATTAATCAAAGGCCTTATATATTAGGTAATGATTAATAACAAGATGCCCATACAAAGAGAGTTGTTTCCCAATTAGCTAACCTAATTATAAGTTTATAAGTTGTTCCCCACGAGTGCTCTCCATACCTGTGTGGTTCTCCATCCTCCTATATCTCTGCCCTCTCTAGCTCCTCCTCTTCCTTTTTTCTCTTCCTCTCTCAACTCCTCCTCTTCTTCTCCTTACTCCTCCCACCTTAGCTCCTCCTATATCAGCATCCTTAGTCATCAGGGAAATGCAAATCAAAACAACCCTGAGATTCCTCCTCACACCAGTCAGAATGGCTAAGATCAAAAACTCAGGTGATAGCAGATGCTGGCAAGGATCTGGAGAAAGAGGAACACTCCTCCATTGTTGGTGAGACTGCAAGACGGTGCAACCACTTTGGAAATCAGTCTGGCGGTTCCTCAGAAAATTGGACATAGCATTACCTGAGGATCCAGCTATACCACTCCTGGGCATATACCCAGAAGATGCTCCAACATATACCAAGGACATATGCTCCACTATGTTCATAGCAGCCTGATTTATAATAGCCAGAAGCTGGAAAGAACCCAGATGTCCTTCAACAGAGGAATGGATACAGAAAATGTGGTACATTTACACAATGGAGTGTTACTCAGCTATTAAAAACAGTGAGTTCAAGAAATTCTTAGGTAAATGGATGGGACTAGAAAATATCATCCTGAGTGAGGTAACCCAGACACAAAAGAACACACATGGTATTCACTCACTGATAAGTGGATATTAGCCCAAAAGCTTGAAATACCCAAGATTCAAATCATAGACCACATGAAGCTCATGAAGAAGGAAGACCAAGTGGGGGTGCTTCGGTCCTTCTTAGAAGGAGTAACAAAATACTCAAGGGAGTAAATATGGAGACCAAGTGTAGGAAAGAAACTGAAGGAGGGGCCGCCTGGAGACCATTGGGTATCCATCCCATGTGCAGTCACCAAAGGTAGAAACTAATGAGGATGCCAGGAAGTGTATGTTGACAGGAGCCTGATATAGCTGTCTCCTTAGAGGTCTGCCAGAGCCTAACATATACAGAGATGGATGCTCACAGCAAACCATTGAAGTGATCATGGGGTTCCCAATGGAGTAGTGATAGTGAAGACTGAAGGAGCTGAAAGGGTTTGTGGCCCCATGGGGAGAGCAACAATACCAACCAACCAGAGCTCCCAGGGTCTAAACCACCAGCCTGAGATCACATAGGGAGGGACCTATGACTCCAGCTGTATATGTAGGGGAGGATGGCCTTGTGGGCTTAGGTGGGAAGGGAGATCCTTGGACCAGTGAAGGCTGGATGCCCCAGTGTAGGGGAATTCGTGGTGGTGGTGGTGGGGTGGGCGTGAGCGTGTTGGTGGGGGCATATCCTCATAGAAGTAGAAGGGGGGATAGTATAGGGGGTTCCTGGGTAGGAGGGAAATAGGGAAAGGGGATCACATCTGAAATATAAATAAAATATCCAATTAAAAAAAAAAAAGAATAGGGCAGTGGCAGTGTTCGTGTGCTCGGGTCTGAATCACTGAGGGAGGAGGCGGTGGAGGAAGAGGTGGCAGCGGTGGCGGTGGTCGTAGCGGTGGCGGAGGCGGCGGGTACGAATCAGCTGCGGGCAGAGACATGGCCAACATCGCGGTGCAGCGAATCAAGCGGGAGTTCAAGGAGGTGCTGAAGAGCGAGGAGACGAGCAAAAATCAAATTAAAGTAGATCTTGTAGATGAGAATTTTACAGAATTAAGAGGAGAAATAGCAGGACCTCCAGACACACCGTATGAAGGTGGAAGATATCAACTAGAGATAAAAATACCAGAAACATATCCATTTAACCCCCCTAAGGTCCGGTTTATCACTAAAATATGGCACCCTAATATTAGTTCCGTCACAGGGGCTATTTGTTTGGATATCCTGAAAGATCAATGGGCAGCAGCAATGACTCTGCGCACGGTATTATTGTCATTGCAAGCACTGTTGGCAGCTGCAGAGCCGGATGACCCCCAGGATGCAGTAGTAGCGAATCAGTACAAACAAAATCCTGAAATGTTCAAGCAGACAGCTCGACTTTGGGCACACGTGTATGCTGGAGCACCAGTTTCTAGTCCAGAATACACCAAAAAAATAGAAAACCTCTGTGCTATGGGTTTTGATAGGAACGCAGTAATAGTGGCCTTGTCTTCAAAATCATGGGATGTAGAGACTGCAACAGAACTGCTTCTGAGTAACTGAGGCACAGGAGCTGCCGCCAGCGACGCTCGCCTCTTCCCAAGGAGCATCAGCACCTGTTATTTTTAGGATTCTGCATAAATTTCTTTTAAACTGGCATTCTTGCCTAATGATGTTATCTAGGCACCATTGGAGACTGCAAAAAAAAAAAAAAATTCCCTGCTCTGTAAATAAAGCTAATTAAACGTCTGTGTAAATTAAAAAAAAAAAAAAAGAATAACCAGTATTATAGTTTTTAAGACTTGTGAAACACATCCCTAGACTATAAATTGAATTCCAAACCATCAAATTATATTATAAATCTAAAGAAAGGAAACTCATTGTATCTTAAGTATCTGCTTGATTTCAATATTTATAAATTGGCTTCTGTCTCCAGTATTACAATGAAAGTAGGTATGGAGAAATCTGCTTGTAATCCCAGTTTTTTGAGGTGGAACAGGAAATAAAAAAGGCAAAAATCATTCTCAGGGATGATTTGGAGGCCATAATGAACTACATGTTTTTGTCTCAATAATGAAATAAAGTGAAAATTTAAATATAAATTTAGGGCTTCAAGAAGTGCTTTAGACTTTAGAAAACAATTCCTTGATTGTTCACATTAAATTTAGACATCTGGAATACTATATATTAAAAGCCAAAATGACTTGTATATCTCCCATCAGACTAAGAAATAAAGAAGAAATAAAATCTAAGCTAGGATTCTAAATAAATTTCAGCCTCTGTATAATAAACATCACAGGCAACTAAGTCTGCTGCTGACAACATTCTTGTGTCCGGATAGAAACATTAGCTTTCCTGTGTGCTCCTGTCAAAGTAGCAGGTCTCCCAGGAGCCAGGAGTGCAGGCCTCTCCTTCACAGTTCTGCTTTCCACTTGCCCTTTCACTTCCTTACTGGAAAGCCAATCTCATGCCATCTTTAAAAGCTGGCTACAAATGTAGGTCACTGGCAGCAGTGCTGCACTCTTCCACATTTTCTTAGTTCTTAGTCTTTAATTTGCTAAGCTTGGCCGCCAGGGGAGGGCCTGGAATTCTAAATAAGTTCTTACAGTAGCCAGGGGCTGGAGCAGAGTCACACCAGGGGTCAAACAACACAATTCTAGCTCAACAGAATCAGAGTATTAAACACTAAAACGCATATAGATGGATGATATGTGGGAAGAAATAAAATGCCAACCAGGATGTGGAAGAAACCTTATAATTTTGAGCTCTACCTGCAAAGCAATGTCTAGTTTCTGTAAAGTTGACATGCTCAAATTAGGTAACAGTTTTAAGCAAATGCAATAAATAATATAGAAGACATAAAATGCATGAGGAAATAGTATTAATAAGGTATTGAACATATGATACAAAGGCTAGATATAATTTATAATTATTTGGATGGTAATTTGCTAACATTTTGAATCACTGCGATAAACGTTTCTGATAAGTATGATATAACTGAACAAAGGTATATTGGACTCATTTATTTTTTTACATCTTTTAGCCATTTTTTGGCAGAATAACAACACCTGGGTCTAAGATATTTTGTATTCTTTCCATTCAGTCCTGCAGTGTAATGAGCAGAACACTGACCCTTCGTGTTGTCACACTTTCACCGTATCTTCTCAGTCATATAACAAACAGCTGGTAAATAGAGACTTAAACATCTGAACACCAAAAGAAAACTGCAATAAATCGAATGCTACATACATGTTTGGCAAAAATACTTCTCTCATTAATTCTTAAATAACTAGTATATCTCATTTCAATTTATACCAAAGAATCAAATAAAGTAGATTTATGATAAAATGAAGCAGATTTAAGTAAATGACCTCAATATTTGAGTAACATTTTTAGTATATAGGATAATATTTTTAATTTACTAAGACAGTAAAGATTTTACTTGTTAGTCTTAAGTTCATGAGAATTATAAAGATTTTGGTATTTTATTATATTCCTTCATTATTAAATATTCTGCTGTCATATTATCAAACATGGCTTATTTTAAATAAGGTATTGCTTATTCTATGATGTCATAGTAATGATATTTCTTTTAAAAATTGAAAGATTAATATATTAAATATAAAAAAACCTGACCTTAATTTTAAATTGAACTACAAATTTAAATGGTGATACGATGTTAAATATACAGGATGCTACAAGCCTTTCTAAAACATCAAATTAGGATGCTCCAGACAGAAGTCACATAGTTCTTCTGATTACATATTTAAACATTCACCATTCAATCTTGCCTGAAGCAATCTTAGCTGATGTTGGAGACAGGGCATACTGCATTTAAAACAAAAAAACAGGTCAAAATTTTATTGCAACAAATTAAAGGAAATCACCCTTTGCCCCAGATATTACATTACACACTTTCTGCTCCATGGACAGTACTTATCTGCCATGCCACCATGAAGAGGTATGAAACTTAAGTTTCAACACTGAACTTGCTATAAAGTGACTCAGTATTTACTTTTGAATATTTTTTTGAATTCCACAAATCAAGAAATGACATTAAACTTATAAAATGAATGTAACATAAAATACTAGAATCTTCAATTTTCAAGATGTTTATGTGCACATATTATTTTTATTAAATGAAAAAACCTACTACTAAATGTTTAAATATATTTATATATAAATACAATTTTTTTTACTATTTTAAAAAACATTCCTTAGGAAGTAAATTTTCTTGGGCAGTACTCATCCATTAGGTTTGAGATTACCAAGAAAATTCTTTTAGATAAAAAGTTAACTACAAAATACTTTCACTCTGTGTTTTTTTTAAAGATTTCACAACATCACATATACTGTTCTATAGGATTCACTAAGGGGTATAATTTCTCAAAGCTACACCTTAATGTCGGCTTCCTGAAGGAGCTCTGACTACAATAGGCATGAATATGTTCTCAAAGGATGATGGATAAATTGCTGGGTGGTTATATAATATATCTTCGGCAGCTGATGAGGCCTTTTATCTCTTGTCTATCAGGTATACAGTTTTCAGATAATTATGGTCTATACGATTGTCTTTTCTCTATCTTTGACCAGAAATATTTGCCTTGGTTCTAGGTTTGAGAAATTAGAACTAAGCAGTTATCACATTATTTTTCTTGTACTGTACTTCTAACCATTGCTAATACCTTGATTTTTGTTGCTAATTATTGAACCTTTAGCTAACAATGAAGATTTAGGTATAATGACAATTGTGTTGGACAAACTGAAATTCTAAAAAAATACTATTTAGAAAACCTACTTATCTGTATCAATATTTAACATCTCAATTTATATTACAAAATATTTGTTTATTCTTTTCAGAGAGATACTAAAATATTTCGGCATTGGTATTATAAAGTATATGAATAATTTCAATGTTTGGCACTCACATTTTTACAATCTATTATATTTTAAATACATATAAATACTAAGTGGACCACATTGAATATGCATACATTAAAACAACACTTTTGCATTTTTCATAGGAGAGGAGAATGATGTTTGTCTAAAACCAAATTCTGCTTTTTTTCCATATCAAACATAAGAAATAGAAAATGAGATACCTGGAAGTTTAAGGAATATTACTGAGTATAAGAATCTATACTAAATTGAGTATAGTTGTATGAAATATGAGGACACAAATTAAAATATTTTAAAGTGAATCATTAAATAATTCTATTTACCTAGAACAAAGTTAAATATACATACTATTTAACACAATCATTGAGTATACACACACACACACACACACACACACACACACACGTGTACATATTGTTATTGTTAAAAGCAAATAATGCTATTCCGATAAAACTAATTTTTATCTTATTTATTTTTATTGTGTGCATGTTTGTATGTGTGTGATGTAAGTGTGGGATGTGTGTCATGGAATCCATATGACAGTCAGAGGACAACTTTGTAAAGGTAGATGAAAACCTTTATGTCAGTTCCAGGGCTAAACTCAGGACATTAGGCTTATGCAAGGACCTATCTTTGCTGAGCAATCTGCTCCTTTAAAAAGAAATGTATTAATAAAAGAGATAGGCAAGTGGCCACATGAGTCAGGAAAGAATACTTAAAGTTAATTTTATTCCAGGTTCAATTCCAGTAGTCTTTTCCTTTTTGTGGTGGATAATGTATAAAAATGTAATTGACATTGGAAGTGTAAAATCCTTAGTAAAGTTCTAAGGCTTTAGAATGGAAATTCAAATTCATAGAAATTCAATGGAAATTACAGTTTAGGACTGGGCAAATGTTTGTGACTACTATAATCTAGCTGTGCTATGTCTTTATTTGAGTTTCTTACAATAAAGTGATTTTATGAGTTTTATTTTTAAGTAAATAGTTTCTTTTCTAAAAACCATAATATCAAACATCAAATTTTATTGTCCATTGAATATATTCTTCATAAATATTCAATCATAGAAAACAAATTGGCATTTAAATAAAAATTACTTGTTCTGGGCTACTTACAAAGAAAAGAATTTCAAAACAAAGTACCAAATCTAGAGTTTGTGGCAATAATCTGAATGCCTTTGATAAATGTTCCAAGTGGGAAAGACTATGTAATAGTCTTTAGACTATTCATTAGAGCACACTTCTAAATTCAAAACACCCACAATGGTAGAAAGTAACACAGTGATTCCCTGGGGTTAGACAATGAAAGAAATAGGGAGATGCTGGTTAAAACACACAGAACTTTTGGCTCTGAGTAAATTCAGGGAGCATAGAGATTATAGCTGAAAATGCTACAATGTCTACTTAAGGTAAAAGTGGTCTAAACCATTTTCACTAGACCAACAATGACAACTAAGGGGTCATACATGTGGCAATCATTTCACAGTGGACACACTCACTGCTGTCAGTTTGAATCCAGCTAGTGTCTAGAATGAAACCTGACTAGAAAATGCAGAACCTCCTAATAATGTGTCTAAATATAATTTGTAAGGACATGTCTTGCTCGTATGTATATTTTTTCATGAAGCATTCAAAATGTATGTTCAATTACTACATTCTATACCTGTAAAATGTTGGCAGGATTTTCTTTGGCGGATGCAACCAACAGAGTATGTCCATTGATGATTCCTTCTGCCAGGAAATACTTGAAGAGCAAAGGCGAATAGATGTTATATTTATCCTCTTCTGCAAAAAAATTTAAAGATACATTAGAAGCTCAGTATAATTATACAGGTCTTTTACATTTCTTCCTCTTTAAAACAAGTATG